CGACCATCTCACAGCGTATGCTTCCTTTTCCCACATAGCCCAGTGCTGTTCCATCTCAGTGAGTTTCCTGGATGTGTTCCAATACCCCTTCGTCGTTTTCTTCAGCAAAACTTTGAATTGGTAGCATCCCATTGGGCAATTAAATGCGGTTTTCCATTCATCCCCTTCCTTAATCCTAACGCGGTAATACACTTCCCTTAGGTCTAGTTTAGTGAAAATTCTTCCTTTCGATAGGTGGGATAACATGTCCTTCATGAGGGGTAGGGAGTATAGGTTACTTTCACTGATAGCATTCAGGGCACGGTAATCCATGCACAAGCGCAAAGTGCCGTCCTTCTTCTCTCTAAAGAATACCGGGGCGGCTACTTTATGGTTGGCAGGTTCGATAAACCCCCTTTCTAGGTTTTTATTTATGAACCTTTCCATTTTCTCCTTCTCCTTAGGGCTCATAGAGTATAGTCTGGGCTTCGGGAGTTTTGCCCCAGGTTTGATTTCTATGGCACAATCCATTGGTCAGTGAGGGGGGAGCTCATCCGCCCGTTCCTCACTGAAGACTTCAGCAAAATCTCGGTATTCCTCTGGTATTTTGGGTAATCCCCTTTCCTCTCCCATCGATGCTTTCTCTGTTCCTGGGGCTTGATAGGGCTCTTTGGGGTGTTAGGTTTGCACAATCCCCCTTCGGGAAATTGAGTTCTGCCATCCTCCAATTTACCCAGGGGTTCCATTTCTTTAGCCACTCCAGCCCTTGGATCACTAGGCATTCCATGCCTGGGGTCACTACAAACGTTATGTCTTCCTTGTGGTTCTCCAGGGATAGGTGGATCGGTAAAGTGGCTAGGGTAGCTGGCACCCCCCCTGTTATGGACCCATCTAACTGGCCGAACGAGATCGGTTGTTTCAGCCTCCTCACTGGGATGCCTAAGTTCCCCACTAGCGTTGGGCTAATGAGGCAGCGGGTGCAGCTTTCATTTTGACACCTTCGGGCATGGAGGGGCTAATATAGTCACTGTCTTGAGGATGAGTGCAATGGGTCCACTTACCAGGGGTTCGCCCTCTGAGGTGTCGTCCGAGGTATCCACTGGCTCTGCCACTTGGCAGAGGGTGGGGACTCCACAGCCTCTGTCGCCCTCATGGCAGTTTCTCGTGGCTTGGCTGGGGATTTCCCTGATTTCCTGGCCGATGATTGGTCTGGGTTGCATTGAGGGGCTTTTGAGCAGCACTCTATGGTGTGATGCCCCTCTCTCCCGCATTTGAAACAGCCCGTTGACTTCTTGGCCGTAGCCGGTGGTTTTACTGGCTTGTGCATTGGCTCAGGAGGCGAGCGGCCCCATGGTTTTCCTCAGCGGTACCTCTTCAGTAGGTCGATCTCTGCTTCCTCCGCCAGGACGTACCATTCGTCGAGTCGGCGTGGGTCCCCTTGAGGCAGGCAAGCATCATACAGGTCGTAGTTTAGGCCATCTTTGAAGTGGCTAAGGAGGGTGTCTTCTGGCCAGTTCAGCTTGTTGGCAATGGCCCGGAATTCTTGTGTATATTTGGCTACCGGGCATCTGCCCTGCCTCACCATTTTGATTCTCTCACGGGCCTTTTGATCAGCCAGGTGGTCCTCAAATCGCCTTCTCAGAGAGGACATGAAGTGGTTGAAGTCGTAGAGCTCTGGGGCATTGGAATCATGCAGGTTCACTATCCAGTCTGTGGCCACCCCGTCCAGAGTGGATTGCACGATACGGATATGGGCTTTGTTGCTGGGGATGTCTCGTCCGTATTCTTCCATGTAGCTAAGGACTTGGGTTAGGAACAACCCCAAGTGTTGCGACTCCCCCCTGAATTTCATGTCCAGCAGCGGGAATCTTTGGATGGATCGGTGCCTTCTCCACCAACGGATGGATTGTTGCCTTCACCGCCGAGAGTGTTGTCTCCCATCCTGATTGCCATCTGCAGGTCGGTGGGCAGTGGGGGCTGCCGAAGTGGTAGCTGCTGTCTCAGCAGACATCCCTGGAACTACAGTTTCTGATTCCCCCTCAGTATCTCTCCGGCTGCAGCCCAAGGTATTGGTGCAGCTGCGGGGTTCAGGTTTCTCCTCCCCGAAAGAGCCAAGGGTTCCTTTCATCAGGTCAATAGCTTTCTCTAGGATCCAGTTCGAGTGCTGTGCACAACCTCCTTCCTCTTCGCTAAGGTGCAGGTATTTCTTCATCTCTTGCTTCCATCCGGGTTGGTGGCTGTCCCGTCTCAGGGTCATCTTCCTCAATTTCTTTTCCCACTCGTCTTTCTTGCCAACACTCATTGACCACCAAGGTTTGTGGTTGCAAGTTTCCACCACTTCTTCTTCTGAGGAGTATGACGACTCAGATCCCGACAGCTGGCAGGGTCCCTGCCAGAGGGGGGGGCTCCCCTTTCATGCTGGGTTCTTCCTTCCCTGACCCGTCATCCGACATTGTAGATTTTGCAAAGTCTCCTGGTAAGGGTCTTCCTTCCAGGTTGACTATTACTGCAGATCCTGTCTAATGTAAGGACCCACTTCAACCCCACATCTTAAGAAAGCAGAACTCTTGGAGACAATTTCTTCCAACAGGAACTTTTATTAAGAGTAGTTGATAGCAGGCATAATAGACAGGATCTGAGATTTCCTGTGCAGAGTAATAGAGTAAGGTATCCCCAAATTAGACTCCACCCCATAGTCCGCCTGTCTGGTATGGGCCAATCCCCAGGTGTTAAGTCCATCATGGGAAAAGGGGAGATAACATCGGCCTATCTCCAGTTCACACAGCGATGATCAGCGGCTTCTTCACACCTTCCTCTGAGAGGCAATAAACGAAGCAAAAGGTTACATTGTAGCGAATAGAGGAAGGGAAAGCAATAACTCCACAGGCACATCCCCCCTCCCTCTTGCGAGTATGGCAGAACCCAGGGAAAGGTGAGATTTGTTTTTAAGTCAGAGGGGATAGATAGAAATGAAATAGGAATGAGTTCTGACCCATAGACTGTAAGTGGATATATTGTAATAACTTCCCTGGCCATGCTGATAGATTTAGTCTCAGATGGTTGGAGAATTCAATTATTGTGTCCTGGGATACAAGTCATCATTTATATTGAAGATGCTAGCTTCATTAGGAAGCTTAGTGTGGTATTGTATGATCTCCGTGCAGCATTGAGTTTACAGAGGCTATCATCAAATATTCACATAGGAACAGGATGATCAATTTACCTTTCCCCCAGCATGATCACACAATTACAAGGGGAAGATTGATCTAGCATAAATCCCCCTGCAAGAATAAGAAGGTTTCTAAGATAATATACTTCTGAGATTGAATCTTAATAGCTAGCTAGCACAGCTGTTCAGGATGATTAAGAAGTTATGATGATGATGTTGAAGTTTCAAATATCCATTATAGAAATACGAGAGGAATTTGATAGAGGGGGAGTTCATCTTCATGCTTACTTTTGACACAGATGACACTGAAATGTTTGGAGCTTCATCTGCTATAATTTAATGAGATTCCCTTTTTTGAGTCAACAGCAGTTTTATTCCTGACCATCTCAGCTTATTTGAGTTAACTTGAGCGATGAGCATCTTTTTGCATAAATGTACTGTGGGGCTTTAAAAAAAGCAGTAGTTCCCACTTTCTGAAATCTTCTATGGATCCAAAGGATTTCATCAACTATTTCAAGTCATAAAAAACAAACTTTTCAGGGCAAAAGTTTTGAGAGAATAAAATATATGCAACCATTGTCATTTTCAACTATCGTCATTGTCACTGTCATACTAACAGTCTCGGTAGCTTAATTTGGGCCTAGTTTGGGAACAGAATCAGACTGAAGATAAGTTTTGCTGGAAAATAGGAAAAAAAGGAAGTGTGGCTCTATTTATCCTGCCCAATCTTTCAGCTGCTTTTGCAATTGTCAAGCACAATATCTTTTTAAACTGTGAGCTGCAATTTTCACTTCTACTTACAGAGATAGACACAGAAAATAGCAGTTGTTCCTCTGCACAATGGTGGCTATGCCATGAGATGCCTCATAGCAATGGTTGTTCAACAGCTATCTGAACATCCTGGAGTTGGTCATGAAAAGTTTTGGTATCATCAGTAAATTGATGCTCAGCTCTACTTCAGTAGAGAATAAAGAGGATGACTTTGATGGAGACAGAGAAGATCTGTTACCAAGGCAACAAACAGATAAACATTGCAGAAGTCCTGATGAGGAAGGGATCAGATAGGCCCTGAATTCAAATTCAACTGAAGCTATAAGTTAAGGAGTAACACACTTAGATTTGCAAGATGTAAATAAAAGTAGATCACCTGGCATCTGTTTCTTAATCTGGACTACCTCATATGATTGATAATGCCTAAACTCAGTGTAAGCAACTTGCTAAATGCAATTAAAGAAACTACAGTGCTATTAATTAGGTTTCAGGTTCTGCTTATGACATCAAACCCCTAAACAATCTGTGATAAGAATGTTGTTCGACTACCTTCTCTGTTGCCCATCTTGCATTTATGAATGCAACCTCTCTATGACAGCACCTTTGCTTGGCAGTGCTCTACCCCATGAAAATTTGAGAGACACTGATGTTCTTGGGGTGCCATGAAAATAAACTTTATTGTCATTATTTGATGTTTCCATAATCAGAGATCTAATGATCCTAGGAAAATAGCAACAACAATTATGAAAGCCTGAATGTATTGTGTCTTCCTACTTGTGCACTTTTCAGAGTCAGCAGACCGGATAGTGGGAAATAGCCTGCTAGATTAGATGGATTTTGGCTTTTAAAGTTGAATAGGACTACACTATTTATTAAACTACTGAAAATGTATTCCACTTATTTGCCATTCACACTGTCTGTGTTAATTTCTGCAAATGTTGATGCTTTATTCTCATTCCTTTGATTGGTTTACATGTAACTTTCCATTTCTACTTCAGTTTCATAGATATATTGAATATATCAGGAGAATATTGACAATGTGACCAAAATAAATAACAATCTATTTCAACTAATTCTGTAGGCCCCCACCTGTGCATGAAGGTGCCCCCAAAGGAACCCAAGTGGTTGTGGTAACAGCTGCTGCCTTGAATCAAACAATTGTCTATTCCATTGTTTCAGGAAATGAAGATGGTAAGTTAAAGTGGCCTTGCATTTGGTCTCAGTAGAGTATATTTTTAAGGAAGAGGGGGTGGAGGGTGAAAGTAAAAAATCCAAAATGGAAAAAAGTAAATTTAACATATTCTTTTTCAGATATACAGCACAATTTTAAAGAAGCTATTTTATCCATGCCTAAAATGTCTATAACACCTTCTTTTCTGCATTCTAGGGATGTTTACCATTAACAATAGAACAGGAGTTATCTCCATTCAAAAATCTCTGGATTATGAAACTGCAAAAAAATATTTGCTTCGGGTGCAAGCAGATTCATTGATAGTAGTCCGTTCTAATTTGCCAGTGCCATCCAAAAGTAAGTTAATTTATCTTTCCTTCTTTCCTTCTTTTATTCTTTCCTTCCTTCCTTCCCAAAAATTGGATATGATATCTGTTGTTCTTTTCTTGAAAAATTAAATAAAATAAAATTAACAAATAAAATTAACCTTTTATTTGATTATATCTGCTATGCTAAACATAGGGGGTATAAACCCTTGAATCAACAAGATAGGAATAAGGTCCACCCTCTTCAAATCTCAGGACATATGTCATCCTATAATATTGATATAATATGGAATATCATGAGCAATATATAAAATATAAAATGAATAAAATATATTCATTTTATTTTCATTAAAGATATGAGCATTCCAGAAAATGGGGATATAAGTTCAATGTTAAAAGTTTCTTAGGATTATTCCAGAAAAAAAAATCATTATTTAAATGAAAAACAAGAATTAAACATTGCAGTTCTTAACAATGAGGTAGAAAGCTATGGAGAGACACCATAATTTCTGAAAACTAGTTGCTCCAGCAATTTTCATGGGGGAGAGTGCCTTTATTTTTCCTGCTTCTTAGCAGTTCAGTGCTTACAGTATGTTTTTATTTATATTTTTTCCTCCCAAAGAAATGAAGGGTAAACAAGCTATGTCAGCACCAAAGCTTATTTGATTAGTTGCTAATTTCAACAACTAATAAGCAAAGCCAGAAGGACCTAGGATTGAATAGATCTAAGACTTATTAACATATACCAATAGAATTTTCAATTTCTATTTCTGTCAACATTGAAAATGAAAGTTATACAGCCTTACATTTTCCAATGATCTCTTCAAGACTTTTGAGGCATATCTTCCCAACTCCGCAGCTTTTGTTTTTTGGACAGGGGTTAGTGTTTAATATCATCTACTGGGGAAAGTCAAAACAGGACAGATAATTGTCCCAGCATTGCGGGGGGGCACGATGTCACAGGTGGTCCACAAAAGCTTGAAGAAATGTTATGCTTTAAATCTTGAGCTAAGTCTTGGGGTTCCATGGCCATGGCCGTGGTCCATTGTATTAGTTGTTGAAATTCACAAAAGTATTTAAAGGGGGTCCGTGGTGAAGAAAAGGTTGAGAGCCACTGACATAAGGTATCTGGCAATTTTTGATAATCTTAAATAAACATTCTTAGAATTAAATAAGAATGAATTATAAATTGAAATGATCATAATGTGTGTGACATTCTGATTTATGAAGATCTATTTGCTTCAACCCAATTACCAAACTCAATGAGCTAAAGTAATAAAGCAAAGAATAGTATTTTATAGGTTATTCTATTTTTACACAAAAATAGAAAGATTGCATATTTTTTTTCTTTTTAATTTACTTTCCCTACAGAAAAGAAACCACTTTTGCTTCTTTTCCTTTTGGCTATATAACTTTTAGACCAAACTAATTTGCAAATTTCTATTTACCTTCCAGTTTATAGCAGAAACGAAATGTAATAAAAACTTGGGTTTGTTCTTATATATTCATTACAGAAGAATTGGATTGTCTCCCTTATTGACTGTTGCCCATTATAAACACATTATGCAGTTAATAAAGAATACTTTAATGGAAAAGGCCTTGATTTCAATGTGACATTGTTTGTATGCCAGGGATCCTAAGTCCATTATATGAAACCCTGGAGAATAGTAATTGTAAGTCCTATTGAATTACTAAATGGATCATTCATGTAATTTTGTGTAAAGGAGCTCATACGGTTATAATTTTCTACTATAAAGTATGCTTTAAGGATAAAGAATAAACTTCAAAGAAATAATGAGACAGGATGTATTGTAAACAACATTTACAAGTGTTCCATTTGACTTTAAATCATAATAATCATGAACCAAAATATTACATAATAAATCTTGCAGGAACATCAAACATTTGGCTAAATACAATGAACTTCAAAGCAATTAAGATTTTTTTTTTTACAAGGACAACAAAAACTTCTCGCATTTCATTTATATTTTTGTTACAAAGGTTTGTCCTTGTAATTTTTTTTAGTTCCTAAATGATATGCTACAAATGATACTTAAGATGAAATGATTGACTGAAATTATTTTTTAAAAAATAACATTAACAAATAATACCTTTCATTCCCGTAGAATTGCTAGTTCTTCCAGGGGAAATAAATGTATACAGTATTTGTATTTCAGTGAATATCTATCTAATGTTAAGTTTCTTGCCTTTTACTATAGAAGACAAGAAATTTAACATAATTAATATAACAGGGGATCAGGCATTTTAGAAAGTGGGAAACTTGAAAAAAACTTTATGTGCTAAAACAGCATTAAATAATATAAAACAGTATTCTGAAGCTTCTTTTTCTTTATTAGCCAAATTTATACATTCAGATCTTTTTTAATATATTGTATATGCATGCCCTTCTGCTATTCTTAGTCCTTGAACATTGCCAGGGAAATCTCTCAACATTGGCAAGAAAGACTATAAAATGGGGCAAAACTCACTTAACAACTGCATCACTTGACAACAGAAATGTTGGGCTCAACCTTTAGATCAGGGGTATTAAACTGCCGGCCCATGGGCCGGTTGCATCATACAGAGGCTGCACCTACCCCAGCTCTGCCAATGCAAAAAAAGTTGCAATACGTCGCAACACATCACTTGACGTGGCAAGTTTGACACCCGTGCTGTAGATGCTATTACAGAGAGAACCATCATATTCCTTTCTTATCAGAGACTTCAGAGCATCTTAGCTGATGAATATGATCTGACATTTTGAGAAGCTGCCATGGAATAACTGAAATGTTATCCATAGCTAGCCATGTAATAACCATTTATTGAAACATGAGATTGTTACCCATCACCCTCATGAATTTCTCAGCATACTCTCTTCAATAACACTCTAATTTACCTTTGATAGGAGGAGGGGCATAGGGGATAAACTGACATAGCCCACAACTATCTCTGTTTTTATATGTATCTAATTTGGAGCCCAGATATATTCTTGGAAATAAGGAGCTTGATAGGAACCAAGTTAGGTGTCCTTCCACCATAACTTGGATGGGTTCTATATAAAAGTACGTTCTTGTAAACCAGGTCTCAGATGAAATACTGTGTCAACAATCCTACCGGGACCTTGAGTAAAGAAGGACACGAAGACAACTCGACTCAAGCAGCAGCGGTTTACTTTAAGGCAAATGTTGGCATCAGGAGAGACCTACAGCAACAAGGCTCTTTGCTATACAAAGTTCGCGCTGGGAGCAACTGCCTCCCAGCGCTGTTTAAATACATTTGTGCTAATGCTACCCCACCCTCCACCCAATTAGCTAGCAACCGCACCCCCGCCCAACAAACCACAACCCCACCCATCAATCATCCCACAACCCCACCCTCCTATCATCCAACCAGCACCTGGCCGTAATTAGAAGAAGCAGCTGATCCAGTTTGTCCGCATGAATGAGGTTTCCTCTGGGGACATCCTGCCCTGACAGCGCTCTCTCTGGTTCGCCACCTGTCAGCTGTTCGGCGGCTCAAACTCCTTCTGCACAGGCGCAGCTTCCCATGCCTTCCGGAACCGCCCGTCAGCTGTTTGGCGGCCCGAATGCCCCGCTGGAGTATCGCGGCTTGCTCTCCCTCATCGAGATGATGAGCTGCCTTGGACCCAGTGCTGGTTTTCCTCTTCCTCCACTGTGCTGTTCTTCACCTTCCCCCCTCTTGTATGTCGAGCCTGGGAGGGCTTGACAGGCGGCCCCCCTACCAGGTGTCCTCCTGGAAGTAGGCAAAACATATAGTTAGGTTGGTGTTGTGGAAGTTGGCACAGTTCCCCTCCCCCCTTGCTTCTGGGGATGTTTGTGATGGTATCGGTGTATTAACCGTGGTGCATTGACATCTGCCTCCCCCACCCATGATGTCTCGGATATTGGGTATCCTTTCCACTGTACCAGGTATTGCACCCGCCCCCGCTGATACCGGGAATCAAGTATTTTCCAGATTTCATAATGACCCCCCCCAATTGGACCGGGGTTTTTTTGTACATGTTACTGGTTTCAGAAGACCACTATGGAGACCGGGTACACTTTGCCAAGGTTGCGGGGCAACTGTAACCTTACCGTTACTGGATTTATGACCCGTTCTATCTTGAATGGCCCAATATATTTTGGACCCAATTTTTTACATGGCCTGTGCAGCTTCAGATATTTAGTGGATAGGTAAACTTCATTGCCGACCTGGAAGGGTTTTTGTGGAGTTCGTTTCTTGTTGGCTTGTCTTTTTGATGTCTGTTCTGCTTTCTGTAACTCTTTCTTTACCGACTTCCATACACTTTTAATTTGGAGCATCCACTCGGGGGGTTGTTATGACCCAAGGTCTCCCTGAGGGCATTCGGGAATAGAGACAAACTCCGCCCCGTGTACGACTCGGAAAGGAGTGAACCCTGTGCTGCTGTGGATGGTGTTGTTATATGCCACCTCAGCGAATGGTAGGAGGTCAGCCCAATTCGTCTGTTGATAATTGATGTAAGCATGTAACATTCGACCATTGCGTTGGCGCGTTCAGCTGCTCCGTTTGTGCTGGGATGGAATGCAGAACTCAGACCTTGGGACAAACCGATAGATGTGATGAAATCTCTCCAGAATCGAGCGGTGAATTGCACACCCCGGTCGGATATGATGCAACGGAGCACTCCGTGTAGGCAATAGATATGTGTTATAAATAGTTTGGCTAACTGCCAAGCTGATGTCGACTATAAAGTCCATGCCAATTTCTTCCCATGGACGATTGGGGTCGGATACCTGTTGTAGCAGGCCAGATGGTTTTCCTACGTGAGGTTTTGTAGTCGCACACATGGAACACTCTCGGACATATGTCTCTACGTCCATTTTCATACCCAGCCCACCAAAACTGCCGTTTGAGCAGGTGCAGGGTTTTTAAGAACCCAAAATGACCGGCCGACTTAACATTGTGGCCTCACCAAAGAACCTCCACCCGTAAGGATTGTGGGACATATACCTTATCACCCTTCCACGCCACCCCATCCCTCATAGTCAA